CGCTTGGTAGTAATTTACTTTTTTTTTTTAATATTTAAAAATATTTCTTTAATATAAATAAAAGTATTATATTATATGCAGGGGTTAAGAGAGATGAGATGGTATTAGAGTTTTCCATAAACGTGGGGCTTCACACTTCTCTAAAATCTTTAAAAACGTATAAATTAAATAAGTAAAAATAGTTTTTTTGCCATTTATTAAAGGAAAATTTGATTTATTCACTTTTATATCACATACTTTTCGAATTTCTGTGAGAAACCACCTCATTTGCTTCTCTCTATTTGTATTCATGTATAGTCTAACCTACACTTGTGATTCTATTCGTATCAAATGTCTTGAATCTTAATGATATTTCAAACCCTTTTGTTTAATTTTATTAACATTTAAACATATTTTATATTGTTTCCAACCATTGGCAGGCGTTTTTACAAGAGAATCGTCTTTCACTTCAGAGAGATTTCAGAAGTATCGCAAGGTTTCCTTATGTACAATAATTTACTTAAAATTTAAAAAATTATTAATTGTCAAGTGTGTCGTATACACTAAAGTAAGACACTTTAGGGTGCTGTTTCGAAGAAAGGTTAAAAATCATTATTTTATATTAATATCTATAATCTGTATAAAGTCTTATAGAACTTCTGCATTTAAAATCAGTTTACGTGACGATTTATATAAATTCTTAAATGCAGAAAGTGTTGTATTCTAAGCTATTATCCGAGTGATAATGTACTCCTTCACATCTATACATTACGAGTTCGATTTATGGGTCATTTGCAAGTATAATTTCTGATTTACGCTCTCTCTCTCTCTCTCTTTGCACGAAATATGCGTTGTCTGTCCGTAACGCATTATAATTTACGAATTATTTTTGAAATAAATAAAAAAATACCAGCTTACAACAATAATAAAATAGATAGATTGTAGTGGTCATTCAATAGTCTAGGTTTAGAGGCTAATTTTAGATAAATAACAGTGTTTTTTTTTTTTTAAGTGATGATTTTGTTTTTCTTTATAGTTAAGGAACTACATTTTAACAACTATAGCAACTGATTTGTAATTATAGCTGTTAAATTAATTAAGCAGATTCATATTACTTTATTCCTCGCAGCAAATGAGATAATTATAAAACTGATTACAGATTTACAGACCAAAGTTGTTTGTTGATTTAATTAGTAGTTGAACCATTAAAAGTAGACCTATACCTTTAATCTTTACTTAATGGAAAACCTTTACATAGCAGATAATTGCATTAATTCATAGATTTTATGTATATAAATTTTTAATCGATTTATGAAATTAATTTGAATATATTTGACGATGTGCTTAACTTTATAAAGATCAGTATATATACACATATATAAGCCGATAAAATGTCATTAAGTTTTTATTATTTTTTTTTACTACCAGGAACTTACTGTATATTAATTAAGATCTTAACTATAAAAATCCAGCAACGAGTTGCGTAACTTTCCCGGCAGAAAAGTTAAAATTGTGTGGCTCCATCTGTTAGGAGATTTTGTTTTTTTTAAAAAAAAAAACCTTTTATGTTACTAATTATTATAAAATGGTAAAAAGATTAATTTTGAAGGTAGAAATGCTAATAATCATATAAAATCAAGTAAAATGTCCGATCCCTCTCGAGATGTGACACATGATTCCTTCTATTTTTCCACCTCCTTGACCTTTAACCACCAAAATTTACTAGCATTAATACATCTAATACGTAAACTTCCCTGCAAAATTTCAGAAATTTTCGACAAAAAGCACAGGAGTTATTAAGCTTCAAAGTGAGTGAAAAAATCGTGCCACCATGCATGT